GGTCGAAAGGGAGAAGAAGCTGGAGGAAGAGCTAATGGCTGAAAGGGCCAGGTTAGAGGAGGAGAGGACCAAGTTTGCCCTTCTGGAGGAGGAAAGGAATAGAAAGGTGGCCGAGCTTGAGGATGCGTTGGGCCAGGCTGAAGAATCTGCCCGGGCAAAGGAGGAGGCCTTTCCCACCTTGGCTGCTGACTGGGCTGCACGCCATCACACGGAGGTTGCCCGGTCCATTCTCACTACCCCGGCGGAAACTATGGACTTCTTCCAAGTCATGTATCAAGAGCCAGAGGGTAAGAGGATGATAACCGAGATCGGTTCATATGGCTTTCAGTGTGGCCAAAAGGATGAGAGGTCTCTTCTCTATGCTCGGCTTCAGAAGAGGGACCCTTCATTTGATCCGGCCAAGATGAAGCTTCCTCCTTTGTACAAGGAAGAGCCAGCCCCCCCTTTCCCTTTACAATAGGTTAGGGTAGATAATGAAAAAACTCTGAATTTTCCCAAGGCCTGGGGGATGTCCGGCCTACTTTTGATTTGTATGAGATTTAAATCTTCTTGGTATGCTCTTGAATTTTACCGGTCTTACTTGCTTTACATTGCATGGTTGAACTTATTTTTCTCGCATGATCACTTCTTTGCCTGGTTGTTTTCCTGTTTTGAAGTTGCTTGGTTATATTTGCCGGACTTGAACCTTAGGAATTGTCTTTAAAGAATGTCCAGGTCATCTCATGGCCTGGTCTTTAAAACGTCCAAGCTTGGTTGACAATTTTTCAGAAGTAACCGGTATAATTGGCTTGGTTGAAAATGTCCTGGTCACTTTCATTTCTTGAAAATGTGTAGAACCTAGCCTCATGTTTGACTAGTTTTCTGGACCGGCTTATGTCTAGGTTGAGCTGCTACAAACGTCCAGGTCATCTCATTTCCTGGTGTAGTAGGTTAGGTTGAAAGTTTTGAAGATCACTTTAGAGGCAAGGCTTGAAAACTTCCAGGTCATCTCATGTCCTGGTCTCTTGACTTGAAAACGTCTAGGTCACGTCCATGTTGAAATGTAATAAGTTTCCAGGTCATCTTATGTCCTAGTTTATTAGGCTAGGTTAAAATCTTGAAGGGCATTTTAAATGCACGGCTTAGAAACTTCCAGGTCATCTCATGTCCTGGTCTCCAGACTTGAAAATGTCCAGGTCACTTTGCTCCTGGCTTGTCTCCTGATCCGGTTATCTTCCAGTTGGAAATGTAATAAACGTCTAGGTTGAATTTGTTCTGATCAACTTCCAACAGCCTGGTTGCACTACGTAACCAGCATAACGTCCAATTTTCTGTCCAGGTGCCGGGTCAAAATGTGACCGGTCAAAAACGGAAGGTTTTCAGATTTGCCTGATTTCATCAAAACCGCTAACTAAAAAAGTGACCGGTCACTTTTCT